TACAAGAACAACAGTAACCCAATGCTCAGGTCAGATTTTTCAGTTACACCGTTCAATTTCATCACAGATCGACAAATTTATCGTACCTATGCTATCGTTAATAGCCATAAACCTCTGAAGCAAGTTTTACAAAGCACGTGTTCATAAATAGAAAAATGACATCATAAGGAAAACCTTGGCATTCCAAATGGAATTTAAACAAATCTATGTCAAACGACTCAAATACCAAGAGCACTGCGTCTGAGTTTCATTCCTAAACCATCCCAGCATGTAGCATTAATAACAGTGTAGCTCTGAAATGAAATGGCATACATAGCATTTGCTCTACTACCACACGTTGCAATGGATTGAAATATTCTAGGCAACGATTTGAGCTAACCTCCGAGGCAAACTTTCATGAAACACCTCATACGATAGACTGGTGTGTTGGCAGAGTGTCTAAAAGGTCTGCATCGATTAGAGTGGTGCCGAGTTCGATCCCGCTCGAGGGCAATCTGTCTTTTTTACGAATTCCGTTGAGCAAGAAATTTACCTCACATGGCTTCAGACCAAGGCCAGGGTTACTCAATCGGTAGAGCATAGAATTCAAAAACGATAAATCGCCAATTCCAGCCGCGGTTGAGTCCAGGTCACTCGCACCTTTACCTCCCGAAGTTGATAAATGACTACCACTCGGTGGGAAGGAAACAGAAAACTACGCTTGCATCATGGCCGTACACTCTCCCTTCAAAAATAATATCTTCTGCCTTATAGCATAGAAATTGAGATCACCGCCACAACGTCAAATTAATAAAAGGAAAGTCGCCAAAATGGCCGTCATGACAAGGAAAGAAGATCGACATTCCAAGTGATAAACTGCTTTCTTTCGTATGATAGGGTATGAAGACTCTGTCGTTATGAACGGTGCTACACACAGCTTTGATACCGTACCACGGACACAGACAGTCTGTGCCAGAGTGTTAAAAGCACATCAACAAATTCTCGACCAAAAATACATAAACTGATTTGAAGATCCGCCTAAAAAATATGCAATGATAAGCGATACGTAACAGGTAATTTCGCTCGATGACCAGTTTTGTACTGCACTACCTATAAATCATCCTTTAAATTACTGTAAATACGAGGGCTAAATTTTTCGCAAAAGTTATATATCAAAACGTGCTAAGAAGACTGAACGAATAAATAAGTTTGCTAGCAGTCTTAAATTCAAGCATAAACATAACCTATATAACTT